GTTGGATCCTTGGAAAAGACACTTCAAACTCCATACCTGCTGGTGGTGATTGGAGGGACCGATGGTGTCTGTGCACCACGCCCTTGCATCTGTCAATGCACCCCAGGGCAGCTCTGGCCACATTGCAGCTCACCACCATCAGTGTGTGAATGGATGAATGATACACTGTAGTGTTAAGCACTTTGGAGTCCTCTGACCCATAAAGGATCTATACAAGCCCAGTGTCATGACTTGCGGGAGGCGTCTAACCCAAGACACGCAGAATCAACACGACAACTCGGGGTAAGTAAAAATGATGTTTTTTATTATGAAAACGGGTTTTCATAATAAAAAAGAAGGGGTTGGAGAGGTTGGAGAGAGGGCTTTCTCTGTCTGTGCACCGAAGCTGTGGAACGCATTACCACTGCTAGTGAGGCTAGCACCAACAGCTAGCATTTTTAAATCACGCCTGAAAACTCACTACTTCAACCTAGCTTATACAACATAATTATGAACCTCACTGACATCTGCACTGTTTATAAACTGACTCCACAATTATCGACTTCCGTATTATTGAGGTTCTTTGTAAAATGTTTTTTCCTATTTTTACTTCACCCTGTGTCTTAATGATTTTTAGCTGTTATTTTTGGGAATTTTGTTGTATTTCCTTTTTATCTTTTATCTGTGTTCGACATGTTTATATAACGCCTGTTTAATTAACCAACATTTTTAGTGTACAGCGCCTTGTTTGGTTGTAATGCCTTGTGAATGCGCTTTATAAATAAAATTGGATTGGATTGGATTGGATTGGAAAACGGATGCACTAGTAAGTCCAGTGAGTAGGGTGCCGTAAGGCGTCAGTCCAAAGTTCAAGTCCCGCTAACAGAGGGGGAGGTGGTTAGCTGAGGTGAGAAAGGACGGGGGTCCAGTTGAGTGAGGTGGGTGTGGAAGCGGAGAGGGGAAGGGCAGGATAGGACGTAGTCCTGAAGGTTCGGGGTTCTAGAGGCGAAGGTAGTGGACGTGGTAGTGGGTTCCTAAACAGGGCAAGCAGACGGGGTTCAGAGGCGAGTCCAAAGTCATAATCCAAAAACAATCCAAGGTCAGAGATCCAGAAAATCCAATCACGAATACACAAGCGAGCAAACAGGCGAATACGAGTGGAAGGAGCTAACCAAAACTGTAGCAATCATCCAGCGTCGAGTGGTGTCTCCATCCCTCTTTATACCAGAGCCTCTGATTGCTAATCCAGCTCAGCTGGTGTCCCCTCCACTCCTCACCTGTGGAAAAGAACCTCAAAGATGGTTTATGGAGGAAGAGCACTCACCTCGGCTCGTGAATCATGACACCCAGGTCATTCAGCATTTTTGAACATGATGCACATTCTTGCAAAGACACACATTTAGGCAGAAGTAAGAGAGCTAGAGCGGGTCGTCCAGCATTAAGAGTGTTGCTGGTTTAATCCCTGCCCATTCCTAGTCAGTCTGCTGTTGTGTCCTTGGGCAGGACATCCACCCTCCTCTGTGTAAGTCACTTTGGATCAAAGTGCCTTTCAAGTAAAAAATATATTAGTAATCACACTTAATCATACATAATTGTGCATTGTGTCTTCAATCAATCAAACTGAATTTTAAAAATATGAAATCTTTGTAATCAAGCTGCTGTGAAAACTTATTTCTTCATTGCAAAACGAAATATGCATTTTACCCGCGAGCTCCTTTTCCAACCTGGAGCAATTCTGAAGTGAACAGGTAGCAAAAGCGTTACACAGCTGATCCCGTGATGTCACAAAAGCATAGAATTGCAATGACCCGCGAAGATTTCAGAAGTTACAAGCAAGGAGAAAGACAGCTACACGTATCTTAAAAGGTCTGTTGTTTATTCTTGGCTATGGGGTTTTTACAGGCAATGACGTACGTCTATCTGCACATGACTTTTATGTTGAAAGTTTTAGATGTTTTACACTGCTTTCCTGTTTGACTCCCTGTCTGGCCAAATCTAAACTGCAGAGTTTGTCATGTTTTGAAAGTGAAACGCGTCATGATCTCCATCCATCCATTAAATTTTGTCCACTTATCCGGGGTCGCCGAGGCAGCAGCCTAAGCAGGCTCTAAGCCTCTCCCTAAAGTCCCATAAGTTGTCACACACAATGATGTGTGTGCAAAATTTGGTCTCCGCATTTGACCCATCCCCTGGGGGAGCGGTGAGCTGCAGACAGCCGTGCTTGGGAACCATTTGTTGATTTAACCATCTTGGGCTCAAAATAAGTTTTAATAAAAGGACGAACAACTAAGTCCTTCAGGGGTACTTCTAAGTTAAAAATGCACATGAAATACGCATGCGGAGTGACCATGTAGGTAGGTTTTAATGTTGCAAATCTGCAACGCCTGCCTCCAGAGGGTTAACCCCCAATCCAACTCTTTTAATATCAAGTGTCAAGCAGGGAGGCACTGGGTCCCATTTTTCAAAGTCTTTGGTATGACCCGACCAGGAATCAAACCCTAATCTCCCAGTCTCAGGGCGGACACTCTACTAGGCCACTGAGCTGAGCCACTTGGGCCAGCTCCTCCGGGGGAATCCCAAGGTGTTCCCTGTCCAGCCGAGAAACATAGTCCCTTCACGTGGTCCTGGGTCTTCCTTTAGGTCTCCTCCCGGTTGGACGTGCCCAGAAAACCTCACCAGAGAAGCATCCTAACTAGATGCACCAGCCACCTCACCTGGCTGGAAAGGAACTCGTACACCACAATGGTGGCTAATTGCCATGTAGCACATTTAGCAGCCTTTTCTTCTGCTGGACTGCCCTTCTTAACTTACCTGAGCTCTTGCACTTATATGCCCCAGCGTGTTCTCTACGGTCTGCTGATCTGGGTTTATTGGTTGCCCCTCAGACAAAATGTAAGACCAGGGAGGATGGTCTTTTTGGTCCCTGAGCCAAGGCTGTGGAACCAATTGCCACTTGAGGTCAGACAAGCAGACCCTTGGGGCTTTTGAAATAAAACTAAAAGCTCGTTTTTATGCTTTGGCATTTTTACAAGGCGTGGAGTAAAGTGCACTTGTGTACATTTAATACATCATTGTCTTTTATCTTTATTATCAACCGCCTTATGGTCTGCATGTATATTGTGTTCCATTTACTTTGACTGGATTTACATTTTGTTGTGTACAGCGCTTTGGGCATCCATTTAATATAGAAAAGTGCTCTATAAATAAAAGCTGATAATGATGATTATAAAAAAAAACAGGAAACTGGATTTTCTTCTTTTTCTTCTTTAAGGGTAAATTCAGAATACATGAACACCGAAATAACCAGAATGTTTATAGGCAACAACACAAGTCCTAAAAAGCAAATTAGAGTTCATTCTTCTTCTGGCTCTTGGAGAGTACAGACACTTTTTTCCTCCTCTCCTCCCCATCTTGTCCCCAAGGCTCTTGGTCTGTCTTTGGGTGTATGGCGCTTCTGTATTTTTTTCTGTAAACTGAAAATTATTAAAAATGGACCTGGTCAGTTGGTCTCTCAATGCGATTGACAAAATTTTTTCAATGATGAGAACGGGAGAAGGGGCTCCCGGTTGCCCCTCTGGGACAGAGCCAGCTGGTATATCATGGACTCCTGGAAACAGTGGAACTTGAACTGCCTCTCTCAACTGTCTGTAGAGGATTCTGAAGACGTCTGGATATTCGTGGTGTTGGTGTCAGGTTTATTGCTTTTTGGCCTGCGAGGTTATCTGGCTTACCAGAAAATTAATGAGCTGTCGAGGAATATTGGCTCTATCCAGGAGCTCAGGGATGGATTACACCGCGCTGTGAACGTACAAGCTCATATAATTTTCGAGATGAGTCGTAAGCTTGGAACTTTGGCTGAGATTCAGACTCTGGCACAGAAGGTGGATTCGATCAAGGAGAAAGTTGACAGATCAGCATGGATTTGGATAGATTAATTACGCCATTATTGGATTGAGAGGGGTTGAGGACCAACGGAACTTTAAGACAGAGAGGAAATTATCTCTGTCTGGCCCCAAAACAAGTTCTTATCTGAATCTGGTGCCCTTGAGCCTGTGAGGCTGAAGCGATAACTCCCCCTCAGAAGAAATGTGGAATGCTGCCGTCGCCATGGCAACTCTGTCTCCCTATTCCAGCCTGGGCGGGACTGTGGCTGGTGAAGGCTGCTGAATGGTTCCAGGAGTCACTGTGCTCTGTAAACCCAACGACCCCCCCCCCCCCCCCCCCCCCCATCCAGACTGAGGTGATGGGCGCTGCTTATCATGGCTGCATGCACTGATGTGTGGACAGTACCCAACCCTACCACCCCACCTAGTGGACACTTATGTTGTGTAATGTCTGAAGTCTGTTGCATTTCTGTCTGCGGTGATTTTGCATAGCAAAGCTGCCCTCCCTGTGGAGGGTAACTCTGAAGTGCCCTTTTCTCCTCCACCTGAACCAATCCTTATGTAAACCCTCTGATCTCTACTAAGGTAGTGCGACTCGGGTTGCGAATGACCACAGTCACCAGTTCTTGTTATGTGTCTATGTATGTCTGATCTCAGAATTGTGTGTACTGAAACTCTAATTTCCCTCTGGGATTAATAAAGTATCTTTGAATTGAATTAAATAGAATAAAATAAATGTATTAGCTTAAAGTATATGTCTTGGGTTTTGGGTTATTTTACTTGTATATTTGAAGTTATAAGCAATCTAATTTTATTTGGTATATTTATAGTTTATTTAATCACATATTTGAGTGTATTGGTTAATTGTTTTCATTGAAATTGATCTAAATGAATTTTAAAATCAGAATCAAATTTTTCATGGTTAAAATTCTAAATCTTTTTCAGAAAGATTTTTAAATTGACTCTGTTTTTCTCTGTAATCTATTCTGTTCTCCCCACGCTTCTTCTATGATGTTATTTATGAGTTCACAAACTGTTCAGGGCCATGTGAGCAGATGGTAATTAAAATGCAAGGCCTCACAATTGCCTGAAATCTTCCTGGCACCCTCCTACTGATGGTGCCATCCTCTAATGCTGCACAGAGAAAGCAAATAGAGCATTTATTCATTCACACATACATTTTAGCATTTTTTTTTTTTTACATTTTATCACAACATGGCAAAAAAATCTCTGCAACTTCTATTTAATCACATTTTTAAAACGGGGTGTTGAGTTCATCTCCAAGACCCTAGCTTTTATTCAGGAGCACAGCTGGTCCTAAAGAACCCCTTGTGTGCATCGACTCCTCCAAACCACTAGAGCAGTCATGAGCAGAGTGACCACTACTGGCACAGTGATGAACGGTGCCAGGATGGCGATGGGTGGGTCGTGCAGAAGGCGACCAGTCAAAGCGCAGGCATGGAAGTATCTGTTGTGAATCTGCACAAAGATGTCATCCACCACCTGATTGGGCCAGAAGCAGTCAAGCCTCAAGGCCACCTGGTATGTGCAGTTAGTTAGTCCCTCGTAAGTCCTGTAGAGAACAACAACACAATTAATAAAAACAAGGCAAACTATATTTTTACAAACCCAAGTTTCTGATTTTCCTTCCTTGGGCCAACATTTTATAGTGGTCTTAGAAATATCCCGTCAGAGGCGATAGCAGGAGATTCCTGTTCGTTTCTCAAGTTACCGGCGAGTTTAACACAGCTAAATATAGCTGGTATGTGTGGCGAGCTGGAGGACTGAGACACAGTTCAACAGAGAGGCACTCTTAGTGGATCCATGTAACATACCAGCATGGTATCTCGTTTGTTTCCAGATACATAAAGGTCAAAAAGACAAAAGGCCATCCTAGTCAAGTTAAACGTGTTGTTTGGCAATCTGTAAAGATTGTAAACATTCTCATTAAAGAAGGAAGGTTAGATGGAAGCATGTTTATGTCATTTCTTGCTCACTCCAATGGCCCCACCACCTTTTGGGCATTTTTTTTTAAAAGAGCAGAACAGTTGTACCAAGGAGCATTGTTTCATTGGAAAAAAAGGAAACAAAGTTTTCTTACTAAAGACAACAATACCTCAAAAGTGGGTGAACTCAGATGTATTGCTACATTATTGTGTAGCTGTGGCTTTTATAGAATTATCAAAATTCCTTTTGGTGGTGTCATGGGGATGCCACTTACCGCCACGATCCCGGAAAAAGCTCCTACTGTTACATTAAAACATTATTCCTTGCCTCATTGCATAGAAATGCATATTTCTTAGAGTATCTTAGAATTTATGAGTGTTAAGATGTGAAGTTTTGTTGAAATACTACCAATTGTTAATTTTTAATACCATGAATGCAAGTTTTTGTTTTTAGTTTTCACTCCTGACAAGGAGCAAACTGGCCAACAGCCGTTTCTCGTGGGCCACATCTGCCTACGCAGTAGATTTTGGCAGCCACCAACTGTGCAAGTTGGCCATTTAAAAAGATGATAAGTCTAACTTTTCACTACAGGTACACTAAACTGTGAAGGAAACCATGTAAAAAACATCCAGGTAATCACATTTTCTGAAGTATAATGGTGCAGAAAATGCATCTCAATTCTTTGCAACCTTATTTGGCAATGACACGTCAAATGTTTCCTGTAGGTCTTTAGTAGGTTTGCACACACTATCCCAGGTATTTTGGCCAATTCTTCCATGCCCTTGCAGTGATGTTTTGGGGTTGTCGCTGAGCAGCACAGACTTTCATTTCTCTACACAGATTTTTAATTGGATTGTGGTCTGTAGACTGGCTAGGCTACTCCAGAACCTACGTAGCTACTCCTTTGTTGTCCAGGCTTTGTGTCTGGGATCGTTGTCATGCTGGAAGGTCCAGCTATATTTCATATTCCAAGTTATAACTGATGGGGTTATTGCTGAAAATTTCATGATACATGCCCCTTTTCATCTTTTACTGTGCCTTTTTCAGAAAAGCAGCACCAACGTTTAATGTTTCCAGCAGGGGCGGATTAAGGACTGAAGAAGATCCGGGGCTTAACACACACGTGCGCGCGCGCACACACACGTGGCACGCACTAGTCAACATATATATATATGTCTTGTACCACAGAATTTTTAATCTGAAGCTACATATTCAGCATATTCAGGGTAGAGTATTGTTCCTGTTAGTGTTTAGTGTGAGATGATAGTTAATATTCCCTTTCTTTCTCCAACAACTTTACCTGATAGTAAGCTAACTTTAGGCAAACCAGCAGCGCAACAAATATTTTCAGATAAGACTCACAAACCTGAGTCAACACCAGTCTCATCAAAGCTGGGGTTCTGTCGTTGTACTTTTGGTCTAAAAAACGTTCTTATGTCCATCTTCACTCATGCGTTTCAGGCAGAGTGTGTAGAAGAAGCCGGCTGCTGAAGGGCTTCTTCTTCAGTGGTGGAGGCTCAGGCAGGCTGTATACAAACTACTGCTAGCTGCTCCCTCTCTGTTGGACTGCATGTTACTTCCACGTTTGAGATCCGGGGCATATCATCAAAGATTCGGGGCTTCAGCCCAAGTAGCTGGGCTTAAAGCCGCCCCTGGTTTCCAGCTCCATGCTTCACAGTGTGTGTGGTGTTCCTAGGATGCAGCTCAGCTTTCGTCCCATTTGTTACGGGCTAGGCCACTCCACAGTAAGTTGGAGTTGGAATAGCAAAGCCACTCAGGAGCCATTAGTTCTAAACAAGATCACTCGGGTCGGTTCATCTCTAAAGCAAACCTTTCTCCTTTCACTCTGGTGAAGGAAAAGGCAGATGTGTGTGTTAACTGCTCCGTGTAAGTGAGCGGGTGATTGTGTGTGTGCGTCCATGTTTGGTTCTCCGAATGACTGACCAAGAGTGACAGAGAGGACACACATTTTTTCAGACAGGAAAAGTGGGTGGAGTTTAGCTCTGGTAAGGGGGTAGCTTACTCTTTAAGAAACTCTTGAAGGCCCAGCTCTTCAGAGATCATCTCCTACCCTAGTACGCAGCATTTCCCTTCCCTGACTTCACTGCACCCTATTCCTGCATTGTGTTACTCTAGACCTGTAGTTCTAGACACTCTGCTCCTTATTCATGGAATCAGCTCCAAAACCAGCTTTCTAAAGCAACCCCAGACTGCATCTCATCAGCTTCATCCACTTCACCTGCTCCTGACTCCTCAGCTCATCACACACACCTGCTTCCCCTGCTACTTAAAGGGGCATTATGGAAGTTTGACAGCCAAAACATGTATAGAAATAATGTCTTCTTCATACATTCTCCTGCAATGTCCTCGTCCTGTAGAATGAGCCCTGGCATTTTTACTGTGATTGCCTGTTTTTCTGTAAAATCACAGAAACAGGGAGATGCTCGGGTCGAGCAGGCTGCTTCATGCGCGTTCACGCTCAGGCATAGCCCGTAACATTTGCTATCAGTAGCTTTAGCAGCAGAGAGAGAGGTAGTGCCAACTCAGCGACTTTGTCGCTGTTCCTAACACCTAGTGATGAACCTAGCTACATTTCTGAGGACCCTTAGCTGCTTTCTGTAGAACTTTCTTCTAGATATTTCCTGCAAATTAGCAACAAAATAGCCATTTTCGCTCCGAACCGTTCTTTGGTTTGACGTTGTTTCAGCCGTCATCAAGGATATAAAAGTTACAGATACTCTGAATATTACTGGTGTGTAGCTCACCTTGTAAGATGGCTGACTCTCATGGAAAAGATCTGGGTTCGATTCTGGATGTGAACATAGTTCATTTAGAGTTTCTTTTTTACATTAATGGTATATTTTTTACAGTAAGATGCCCACATTTTTATTTGAAACTCGCCAAACGGCATTGAATTCACAGATAAAAAAGATGTGGGTTCAACTTTCATTTTGGAACAATTTTTCAAGCAAGGGAAGGAAATGATCTGAGCATGGAGGAGGACTGAGTGTGCACGTACGGCATGCGCGCCTCGTGCACGAGCCTACTATTGAAGCTGCCATTACGCTTTTGGCCTGAGGGGGCAATTGCGAGCATAAAAATTCAAAAGTCCAAAAAGTCCCTTAAGAACCAGCCATCCAACTATTCAGTGCCAGATTATTGAACGCTCACGCCAGTAAATCTTCCAGCCTTTTCCATCCTGCCTGATCATAGCCTCCTGACCTTGTTTCCATGCCTGGCCATTGCCAAGAACTCTGCCTGCCTCCATGACCCTCGCCTGTTCACCGACTCTGTCTCCAGCCTCGCCCTTTACGGGTAATGCCACGTCTTAGCTCCTGGCTAATAAAGACTTTTAAAGTGCCTTACTGTGTCTTGGTGTCCTCAAGGGTCCTCAAGTTCTGCCCATTACAGTAATCTTTATAAAACAATCTTGGTAGATTTACAATCTCATTGTCAATTTTGTGGGGACCACCTTGGGGGGTTTTAGACCCCAGGTTGGGTCTGAGTTCTCCCTGCTAAGCAGGGAAGTAGCTGCCTTGATACTTTCGTTTTTGTAAGTCACTGGATCAAAACAATGTACCATTTGCATGAAGTTGTATGACATTTTTAAAATAAATCAGTTTTTTGATGTCAGGAATCCACTTTAGCCGTTAGCTTGGTTGTCCGATTTGATCTGTTTCTTGAGACAGAGCTAGAGCGACTGACACTTCATAGCTTTTATGCCTGAAAACATCCTAACTAGTCTTTTAAACTTTAGATGCATTTCACTCTTTTTTTTAGAAACTGCTTTGTAGTAACACTCACTCTGTTGTGTCTGGCCAGCTACACCACAGGCCAGGGTCCAGTCTTCCCATGTCCAAGTGGAACTTGTCCAAGCAGAAATCTCTGATTGTGGTTTTGTAGAAATGTGATTTGCATCCAGACACTGAAGGGATGACTTGAGCTTTACAGAGCAGAAAAAAGAGAAGAGAATAAGATATTTCTGTTTCAGCAGATGGTTTGCAGGATAAATGTCTCATTGTAAAAGCACAACAAAGATTGTAGAAAGTGCCTCTGTGTTTATATGCTTTGTTTACTCATTTCAGAATTAGGAATATATTTATGCAACAAACAAGGTTGTGTCCTGGCTATAGTTACTCCTCCTGGACCAATTCTTCCCCATTAGGCTCCAACTTTCACTAAGAAAAGATTTTAATTTGCAACCAGAGTCCCAATCCCATTTGTTTACTTCAGAGATGTGTGTAAACAGCCTCTTAATGCGGAGGCAGACCGTACAGTCGTCCCACCGGACCCAGAGCTGAATGTAATACAGAGCAGAGGGAGATGGAGGGAGGTTGAACAAAGGCCCGGATGGGAAAATGAACGGGTTGTTATTCCGATCAAGAAAAAGAGGTGGATCTCAGGCTGCTCCAGCCTGATAAGAACCATCTGTTTGTCCTGACTCTGCGAGCTCTCCCAGTGGTCCAAACTACCCAGAGGGAGGACAAAACGTGTCGATATTGCACTAAAAGGAAGTATGCGGACAGCTGTGGTCAATATAAAGCAAACGGAAAAAACGTTTTCACTGCTTCACTGCATGCTACACCATGGTTATTCACAAGTGTCAATATCGCAAAAAGCAGAAGAATGTCGTACTTTTGGTGGATTAAGCTTGAAGTAATTCTTAAGATTTCTGCTGAAAACAAAATAGCTACATTGATGTCAGTATCTTGGTTTTTTGGAAAGAACATTCATACAATTTTGGGTGAATTCTTGGAGATTGGAATTTTGTAAAGATGGCAACTATCTGTCTTTGATGTATACATCAACAGATCTATTTATCTATTTATTATCCATCTATAATAGATCTGTAGATCAATTTGGAAAATCCTTAGAGTCCAAATGAACCCCAGTTGGACGAAATAAATTTATCTCCAACAAGACTGACAACCCAATAGGCAATCTAACCAAATTATAATTCTACTTTCTTAAAACTTAAGTCTTATATGTTACCACAGTTTGAGCAAATTTATTTTATAAACATTTATAGTTTCTAAAAAGAGAAAAAGAACATCTGACCACAATAGGGGTTAAATAAGTGTCAACATCAGGAGTTTTCTGAATCGTTAGATCTGAGAGAGAAATAAAGATTCAAATAGGATGCAGACCTTGCAATTGCAACCAGGTTTGGTCAGCGCTTCCAAGTTTGGCCTCAAGGGGTCAGCAGATGATCATTTTTAAATGACGCCATCTTGGATTATCGGTCTGTCGGCAGCTGATGTCAAAGCAGAAGTCAGACAAACTTGAGCTGAGCACGGTGAACCTTTGTGAAGCTGGATCAGTCCATCCATCCATCCATTGGAGTATTTTGATTGATAAACTAAAGACTTAAGTTTTGTGACTTTAATGTCGATTTCTTTTTTTTTCCCTTCACACCTGTTATCCTGGCTGGTTTTTCCTTTGGAGGGGTTAGTTGGAGAGAGTCTCACTTGCTGCCATCTGCTTCAACAGTGACTGGATATCCTGGACCATTTCCTTTTTTTTTGGGGGGGGGGGGGGGGGGGGGGGCATACTCGGTTGAGAGGGCGGTAGGGCTTGAGTGCACTCATATTATTTAGAAATTTTGGACATTGGGGGTTTATATTATTTCATTCCTGAGATCTCAGAGGAATTTTTGTTCTACTGTTGAATTATCTGTGTATAAAAGAAAAAAATGGTAGACATTTAAAAGTTAACCATTGAATAAGTTGTTTATGGGGGACTATCTTCAATAAATTTTATATTATTGCTAGTTCTTCGTCATGTGTGTTATTTGGGTGGGTGTCTAACCATTGCTTGGGTAAATAAGTTTCAACCTCCTCATTGAACCTAGAATAGATATTCCTTTCATGTTGCTGTGTTGCATAACCACAACGTAGGGGTTACAAAAGTGGCGAGCCAGCCAGGAGTTTGTTAATTTACAGTCCACCCCAGATTTTCACATTTTACAATTAAGAGAAAGAAAACAGATTGTTGAGTGACTTTAACAGAAATATCTTCCCTTTAATGGGAATTTGATATATGATGGATCTTTGCAACAAGTTTAGAGTGAATGGGCAAAGTTGTTTGTATGTAACAGGTGTAGATCCAACTTGCACTGATGGAGAAATAGCCGTATTCTTCAAAGCAAATGGAGATGTCATGAACGTAATCAGGGTGCCTTATGACCCTGGTCAACCCCAGGGGAGAACACTTGTACAATATTCGTCGGATCGAGCAATATCAAGAATCGATCTTGCCAATCTGGGAGATTTGCTAAGCCCTAATGACCCCGAATTAATTTGGCATGTTCAGACCATCCGTGAAGTGTGTCAAAAGGAGCTTGGAAGGGAACTGGCCCAGAAATACTTGGCTGAATTGAGTACATTTGCTGAGAATAGTAAAGCTGGGTTTTGGGATATGTTACAGCAAGAGATGCATCATGTCCAGTCTGATTTTGTTTCATCAGAGTCCCGACACCAACCTTTACTCATCAGACCAACCCATTCCTGATCCAAGCCTCAGTACAACAGGCCCTGATAAAATTCAACCACATTTTGTGGCACCAAACCCATCCAATACAGCTGCTGGTACACCAACTCCAAGTGCCCCTCTGGATCCAGGAATGGTAAATCCACCTAAAATCCAGAAGGTAATTGTTGAACATTTTATTCGCATTGATTGCTACTCCAGGTAGCTACAGTCAAAGCACAATAAGAACATTCTCAGGGTGACTTCTAAAGCCAAATGGTTTATTTGACTCTCAAAAAGTGAGGAGGATTCTGGAAAGCCTGCTTAGTCCAGCAGCAGACATTGTCAGACAACTTGGAACAAGTGCACACCCTAATCTCACTCAACTGGAGTCAGCATTTGGTGTTGTGGAAGATGACGAGGAGTTGTTTGCCAACTTCTTGGGCTCAAACCAGAATTTGGGAGAATAGCCCTCTGCCTTTTTGAATCGCCTCCAAACCCTTCTTACTAAAGCAGTTTCAAAAGGGGGAGTTGCAGCTGATTTTGACAAATACCTACTTAGACAATTTTGTCGTGGCTGTTGGGATCAGGGCTTAATCATTGGCCTTCAGCTTGAGCACAAGAAATCTAATCCCCCATCTTTCCTGGACTTACTGCTGCTTTTGAGAACAGAAGAGGACCAACGTGCCGCTAAAATGGACCGAATGAAAAAGCATTTGGGAAGCACAACGGCTGCAGCACATGTCCACTCAATTTTGACTATGGCCTCATTCGATGAAGAACCTGCTACCACACCTCCCAGCAAGCATGTCGTCCATTCTAAACTAGAAAAGGAAATTTCTGAACTCCAGAACAGTGGCAGATTTAGCTATTTGGGGGCCCAAGGCGAACACAGACATGGGCCCCCTTACACAAAATTTTCAACAATCTTATTTTTAACCGGATTTGCGAAACTCTCCCCTCTTCTGATATGAGTTATTTTCCCTTTTTATTAGTCCTCTTTTTTCCTGTCTTTCTCTCCCTTTGAGTGCTTTCTTCTTCCTGTCAGTGCTCCTGTGCTTCTGCCTTTGTTTATTTTTTCTATTTTCCATTTTGGTTTGTTTTCCTCCCTTTAAACATTTTTCATTGCCTTTCCTTTCTGCTTCCTTTGATGTTTACATAGAGAAACAACGTCACTTTCGTATGTAAAGATAAAAGCTTTTTTGAAACAAACTTGCTTCTTTCTCTTATTGGAGCCACTAGGATAACTCCATTTCATGCTTAATATTTTGACTACCACTTCAAGTTTTTATGAACGCTCCTGCCTCTCTTCTTCTTCTTATTTGTGGTCTTTTGGCACTTGGCAAACAACAATTTGGTGCATTACTGCCACCAACTGGATTGGAGTGGAATGACTACCAATTGCTTCCTGTTTGTGCATCGACGTCTTAAAGGAATAGTCCATTGTGGCATTAACAGAGGGGTGCCGGCGGTCAGGGCTAGGGGGCCCCCAACACAAGGGGGCCCCAGGCAGCTGCCGACCTATGCCTAATGGTAAAACCGCCACTGCTCCGGAAACAAGTCGCACAATTAAAACACAAAGAAGCAGCAAAGGTTGAACACCACAGATGCTTGAGTGGGAACGAGCCGACCCTGCGAAGTGAAGTGCTTGCAGTTCATGTAAAAAAATCCCAATTCTAAATACCGAGCCCCCAAAGCCTTGGTTCTGTTTCAAATGTGGGGTTGATGGCCACATTGCTGCTAATTGTACCAGTGAACGAAATCCTGAACTTGTTCAGAGAAAAAATGCAGAGCTCAGAGAGAGACATGACAAGTTCTGGGCCCAACAGAGAGATCAGAAACATTCTTTAAACTTGTAGAAGCTCCTGTAGTGGGATGACCAGGAGCTAAGGAAGCCAGTTGCATAAGTCCCATAGCAATGACACTTGATGTAAATGAAAAGACAGAAGATGAGTCTTGTGATGCAGGTTGCTGGCCTGTTGATGGCTTACCCGCGGGACTTGTTGGTCCCCGCTGCCTTTCCACAGTTTGTGTAGGAGACATAAAATGTGAAACCACACTTGATACCAGATCTCAAGTTACAACCATTACAGAGACTTTCCTCTCCAAATACCTGCCGTCCTTTGTTGTTCAACCCCTCAGCCATTTACTTGAAGTTGAAGGGGCTGGGTGTCAATCTGTTCCTTATTTGGGCTATTTTGACCGTCCACTAACCTTTCCCGACAGCGTGACTGGCGCAGAGGAAAAATTGACCGCTCTTGCCCTTGTGGTCCCAGAGTGTCTATTTAACAGCAGGACATCATTGTTGGTGGGCACGGATGTTTTACTCCAGCTCTACCAACGTGGGATGAGTCATGATGGGACAAGGTTCCTCAGAAGATCAGATAACCTCGCCCTACTCCTCAAACACACGGCCCAAGTGCCAAAGAATGAGAACAAAGCTTGCCCTGTTAAGTTACACTGGAGACACCCCAT